GGCCCAGTTGGGCCACGGCCCAGAGGGGGGGGGGTTTCTCCTTTTTTTTCTGTTTTAGTTTTGATTCCTTTTCTTATTTTCTCTTCTGTTTTAATTCAATTTAAAATATTTATGTATTTTATAAAACTGTGCCTTCTACACCATAATTATCTATGTAATATTTAGTACAATCCGAACATTTTTATTTTAATTTTTGAAAACTTTTATTATTGACATTAATTTGAATTTGAATTTTGAAACGGTTTTGAATCATCGCAAGGTTAACAACAGTAAGCGTGGTGACGTGGCACCATTAGCCCGGGATTACTGTAGCTTAATTATCCGGGCGTCACAACGGCTACGACGGGCGAGGCAGAGGCGCGGGACGAGGAGGCGCAGCCTCGTGCGTTTCCTCGGGCACGCGGGCGTGGGAGAAGGGCTTGCGCTCCTGGTTGCTGCTGGTCGAGGGGGCCGATGGATTGAGGAACGGGGAAGGTCGAGCAGAGGAGGGGGGTTGCTGGTTGGGTGAGAAAGGATCTGGGAGGATCCCGAGGTGGGTTTGGAAAGTGGCGGCGGGTGATGGGACAAGGGAGCTAGATTTTAGGGTTGGGCTAGGTGTGGACTGCTATATATACCAGAATGTAGATAGGAAGGAGTATTTGGATCATCTGATCAAAATCAGACGGTCGGAGATGAATAGGTTAGGGAGTCCAAATGAGAAAACAGTGATGTTTTGTAGATGTTTGGGGATGATCCGGACACAACGGTAGCGATAGTCCGGGTCGGGTCCGGGACAGCTTTCGGGCGCGCGCGCGAGGAGGGCCGCGGGCATAACCGAGAGAGGGGTAGGCATGGGCCTAGGAGGACGGTGGAGAGCGGTTTGGACTGAGAGAAGAGGGGGGAGAGAGACCCGGCGACTATTTCCGGAGACCAAAAACGTCTGACGTTAGACCGGCTATAATGCCACTATAGTTTAACGGTTGGGCTATCAAACAAACTCCGAATGCGGTGAAACTTGACAGGCGGTCTATCTACACTATAATAAGACCACACGTCAACTCTCATCCCATTCTGAGAACATTTTCCGGCCACTTATAAAATAATATTTCGGACGTGCCGCGGGCGCGTGCAAGTGTGTCTGGGCTCAGAACGGACAACGGACGGAACTGGGGGAACCCGGACGGATGCAAGTTTTGAAAACATGATGATGCAATGCACATGATGACATGGTAAGATGCAACACACAAGCAAAAGACATGGCAACGACGGCGAATAACTGGAAGACACCTGACACATCGGTCTCGGGGCATTACAATTGCGATCATACGATGAAGTCCAGGAGCCAGAGGATCCCGAGAATGATTCTACGTGGAGTTCGACTTCAAGGAGTAGTTAGGAGGTCCCAGGCAAGAGGCCTTGCCTTTTCGATTGTTGCTACTTTTCTGCTAGCATTCTTAAGGTAAACTTGTTTAACTTATGTCTGTACTCCGATATTTTTGCTTTCGCTGACTATTGTGTCTTCGAGATTATGTATTCGAGCCCTCGAGGCCCCTGGCTTGTAATATAAATCTTGTATTATTTTAATTTGTGTCTAGAGTTGTGTTGTGATATCTTTCCGTGAGTCCTTGATCTTGATCGTACACATTTGTGTGTATGATTAATGTACGGTCAAATCGAGGGTGTCACAAGCGTGGAGATCCGGCGACACGTGGACGATGCGGCCGTGTGTGTGGAGCATGGATGCAGTGGCCCGGAGGCGGACGTGCGCCTGGAGCGCGGAGGCGGCGGTCCGGCGGAGCGTGGAGAGGCGCAGGTCGCGGCGGTCCGACCGTGCTTGGGGTGGCGGTCCGGACGTGCGCCTCGAGCGTGGCCGCGGCACAGGTCGTGGCAGTCCGGCGGTGCTTGGGCGCGGTGGTCCGGCAGCGCGTGGAGACGCACAGGTCGAGGCGGTCCGGCGACGCGTGGAGATCGAGGCACATGTCGAGCGGTCCGACGACGCATGGAGATCGAGGTGGTGGCTGGTGGCGAGGGTGGGGTGGTGGCTAGCAGCGAGACGTGGGGTGTGGTCGAGGGAGGGCAGCCGTTTTTGTTTCTGTTCGTGCGTGGAAGAGGAACGGATTAAGGTAACGACACAGTGGGTAATACTGTAATGGCATGGTGGGTAATTAATGTATAAAACACGTTTAGTACGCTGGAGGGGCGTGACGTGTCAGATCGTAGGATTTGACGAATAGGATGAATTAGTTCTTCGCCCTTTCATTTTTTGGAGACAAGTTCTTCGCCCTTTCATTTTTTTTGGAGACAAGTTCTATACCATCTTTGAATAAAAAATAGGCCTAGACCATGGGCTAAGTTTTTCTTTGGAAGTGGAGACCATGGGCCAAACTGAAGCCCAAATGACGATAGGCCAGGAAATCCAACAGAATCCTGAAAGGAAAGTGAGATCGAATCGCATCGTAGGGCAAGGGCAACCGGTATCTCTCTCGCTCTCTCCCCTCGCGCGGTCGTGCCCCTCCTCCCGGCCGTCATAAGAGACGAGTCGAGTCGAGTCGAGTCCACCCACGCGACGCCAATCCATCTCCTCGCCTCTCCTCTCCTCTCCATCCTGCGAAAGGCGCAGACGCGAATACGCACGAGCAATCAGGGCGGACACATCCTCTCGCGGCGGCGGCGGCTGCTGCAGCGGCGTCGGATTTCGAGACGCTCTCCCTTTTAGATCTTGCCCGCGGAATCAGCAGATCTAGGGTTACTCCCTACTCCACTGCACTCCCCATGGCTTCGGCGGCGGCGGCGACTCAAGTAATCCCCCTTCCTTATCTCTGTCTCCCCCAAACCTTTTGCGCCCTCTTATGCTCGGATCGGTGACTGATGTTGCGATTGGATTTGGCTGGCAGGTGGGCACTTACTTCCTCCGCAACTACTACAATCTGTTGCAGCAGAACCCCGATGTCGTCCACCAGTTCTACAGCGAAGCAAGCACCATGGTCCGGGTCGACGACCTCAACGGGACCAGCACCACTGCTAACTCAATGATGGTTGCTATCTCTCACAATATATATATTACTTTTATATGTGTCAACTTTAAGGTTTATATGTTTGGGCTGTGCTTTTGTGATATTTTGGACTGTCAGTGCTTTGACTGATTTTTACCATCTCAATGTTTGGCATTCATGTAGGTTTTAGCATTACTTCTGCGCTCGTGGTATGTTACCTTGCCATGTCGCATCATTAGTTTGTCTTGTATGTGGTGTTTGTCCATCTGCTGAGTTGTATACTTATTACTCGTTTTGTCTGCGCCTTTTCTTCATTGAGTTTACTTATTGATGCTGTTCTGTTGCCCTCTATGCTGTTTTGTTTGTTTGCTCTGCTGGTTCAATACACCTGTTGCCCCTAAATAAATCAATTATATATGCAATTTGAGTCTGCCACTTTTTTGTTTCCTTTGTTACTTTATAATTTATAATAACAAATTTGTTGCCTGCAGGATATACACTCCCTTATCATGTCCCTCAATTTCACCCAAATTGAGATAAAAACTGCGAACTTTGCCAACTCATGGGGAGATGGGGTGCTAGTGATGGTCTCTGGTCTTGTACAGACCAAAGAGTACAGCAACCAAAGGAAATTTATCCAGATGTTTTTCCTTGCGCCTCAGGAGAAAGGTTACTTTGTGCTCAATGATTATTTCCACTTTGTTGACCAAGAACAAGTGCAACCTGCACAGGTGAGAGCTCAGGAAGCCTTTGAGACCAACATGGCATCCAACACAGTCCAAACAAGTAAGATTTATCATCCTAAATAAATATATAAACTATTGGTCTTTGCATTTTAATTGTTATTACCCATGAAATAGCCAATCATGTTATGGATATGTTCCAGTACACGCCATATCTGCTTGCCTGTATGGACTGTCTCTCTTATCTATTTCTTCGTCGAGTACATACAGTTGATTTAACTCCAAATAAGATTTCAAAAAGTTTTTTCCAGTGGCAACATAAATAAGGTGCACTGTATTGAGAATGTTCATGCAAGTCATTTTTTTAATATCTATGGGCAATAATAGAAATGGTAGTTTAGATTTTAAACCAGCTGAGCACTGATTGTTTCAAATTATAATGCTTCCATGGAGAAATATTAGTGTCTCCTGATAATGTTCATGGTCCTGTTTTGTTGCCGCTTCAAAGTTTTGTTAGCGTTTTGTTTAAATGCTCTGCCTGCAGGTGCGGAGTACATTCATGAAGAAAGTCAAACAATGCAAGCTGTTCCAGTAACATCTGAAGAAAATGATGCTGTTGACAGTTACACTTACTCTGAGCCACCACAGCAAGTAGTTTCTCAGTCGGACAACTGGGGAGATGAATCTCTTCAAGAAGAACCACTTTCTTCCTTCTCGAATGGAATGGCGATGGCACCAGAGGAGCCAGCACACCCTCCACCTGTGCAGCCTCATGTTGAGGAACCTGTTGGGGAGCCCGTAAAGAAGACATATGCTTCTATTGTATGTGGGACCTTCCTTTCCTTCATATGCATTTTGTTGTGCTATCTAGATGACATGTCTTTAAAATGATGATTCTGATGATGCAGCTAAGAACTGCAAAAGCCCCGCCTCCGTTCCCTATTGCTCAATCAGTGCCTGTGAGTAAACCTCACCCTACAACAGAAGCAAACCAGGCAACTCTAGTGACTTCATCGGTGGCAGCAGATAAGCCAAAATCTGACTTCTACACAGAAGGCCATGACGAAGAAGGTTTTTCTTTCTTTATTCTTGCCTAATTTACATTTATTTGTTTAAGTTCCACATTGTTTGCTGATTGTAATATTTATTTCATAAATTAGAGAGCAAATCTGTTTATGTTGGGAATGTGCCACAAAATGTAACTGAGGCTGATCTTGAGAATGAGTTCAAGAAGTTTGGCCAGCTCATCCCTGATGGTGTTGCTATCAGAAGCCGAAAGGTTTGCAATTGAATTGGCTTTCTGATTCTGATTCACCACTTGCTATATAACATGAGCAAATGTTCATTTGATTGATGGTGGAATTTGCAGGAGACTGGTGGCTACTATGCTTTTGTGGAATTCGAGGAACTGAGTGGCGTTCACAATGCATTGAGGGTTGTTTATTGGAATTCACATTTGATACTCTTAATAATTCTTCAATTTCTCGTTTAAAAATTATATTGCTTAGGTTTGGCTTGTACAATGTTGTTATTTACCATAGTTTAGCTGGTCATAATCTGAAACCATCTTGGTGGATTTCAGGCTTCACCACTTGAAATAAATGGGCGGCAGATATATGTCGAGGAGCGGAAGCCTAACAGTGGAATAAGGGGAGGAAGTAAGTTGTCCATTTTTATGCATCTGCCCTATTCTAATGAATAATGTAAGCTGCTAGCAGAAGTGTGAGCCGTGCTTGTGAAGATACACTGAGCTCTGTATATGTTTTTTATGTCGTGCATGTTTACATTTGCAGGAAGGGGGGGAGGCAGAGGTCGCTTTGGCGGCAGTGGCAGAGGATATGCGAGAGGTGATGAGTACAGCGGTAGCCGTGGAAAGTCGAATGGTTATCAGCGTGTCCCTCACCACGAGAGGGGCATTTTGGGGGCAAGGAACTGATGCCCCATGGCGATAGGAGGAAGCATAAGAGGTTTTGATCCGTGAGAAGTGGAGCAGGAGTTGTAAAACTGAACTATTGGAGCGCTCCATTCTGTTAGGTTGCGTTTTCGGTTTTGGGGTTTGTCTTGAGTTTGCCACAGCAGCTCGTCCATGGACGTGCCCGTCCGTTCTTACCAACAGATACTTTATGTTGCTATTCTGTCTTCTCGTTAATGTTAGATCTGTTCTTTTCGGTCTTCTGTCATTTGTGCGCCTGTGTTTTGTTGCGTGATGGTGATGTGTTCGCTGCGTCCTTTTTGTGTTTGACGCTTATTTAGCCAGCAGAGACGCGCAACGCCCCTTCTCTGGCCGCCGGCAATCCCCATCTGCATCTCTTTCGCCATATATGTTTGCCTGCAGTGAGGCCTCCTTTTGTTCATAGATATAAGTATCATACAATTCCTGTAGGAAAAGAGATATCATTTGATGCTTAGAATAGGAAATTTCATCGAGTCCAGGCTTATATTTGTTTTCCTTTAAAATGTGAAGGTTTGGTTCTATCCTACATAGAATAGGAACCAGTCCTAAAAACCAATGGGCTTCAAAGGAATTGTTTCTATAAAATTATTCTTTACTTTCTTTCAAGCTCTTAGGAACAATTATACAGATTTTGGTGAACATAAATTGTAATTTGATATTTATACAGGTTTACCTAATTATATCTGTCATGGAGGACGGTGCCATGCTGTACCCTGGGGATGGCATGCTCTTGTTGTGCTGGTGTCATCGTTAGTCTTTTGCTATCAAAGGCAGCCCGATAGGCAAGGGAAGAGAGAAAGAGGCTGGTTTGGTCTCCCCTAGCAGTATATAAAGGAGGAACCGGGGCTAGAAAAAGGGGAACAATCATGTTACACATTCACACATAACTCAGCAAGAACACACACATGACGAAGGGCATTACACCTCCTCGGCGGCTTGAATCTGGATAAACAAAACCTTCACATCTATAGTGATTTGAATTGTTTGGCCCCTGACCGAATCTCTTGAAGGGGGTCCCTTCGATCTCGACGATCACCCGTCAACATTTGGCACGCCGGGGTCAAGGCGTCTCTCTTTGGTCAACTTCTCCAACCTTGTCGAAACACGAGCTATCACAACGGATCATAGTTGAGGCTCGCCACACCACCCAGCGAGAAAGCTTCTGCCAGTTGCAAACGACCGTCCCAACAACGGCTCGACCTCGGGTAGCCAGGCCCAAACCCTCCCACAGCGAGAAGAAGGAAGGGGCAGCACCCGGCGACCCATCATTGTGCGAGCTATCACGTCCCTGGACCTTGGAAGCTTGTAAGTAGCAACGGGAAAGGCCTCTTGAGCACTCCACCCTCATCCTTTTTGCAATGTTTTCCAACCTGGGTTCTTGAGTTCTTTTTTCTTCTCCTTTCCTTCATTTTACATGCTACCCCCTTGATGAGGCCCTTTTTTCCAGGTGCTATGAATTCTTGGTCTTTCCGCTTCAACTCGGGGACGTCCGACCGAGTGGGCAAAACAAGCCAGCATGTTTCTATCTAGTTCAACGGGAGAGTGACTGTGCTCCGGCTTTTTCGGACACCATTATGCCCTTCCCGGACAGGCCGCAATTGCTCAAATAACCTCGCGCCCTTCTCCACCTGCTTGACCGGCCGCCCCAGGTTAAGGGGCGGGGCTCACGAGAACAAGCCATGGCCGCCAACCAGAGCGTAACATATCTTGATGAAAATTACAAGAAGGGTATTTCGCCACAAGCGGAGCCTAGTCTCCAATGACGCGAAGCCTAAAGCCGCCCCTTTCAACGGCGGACATGTCGGCTTTTTATCCAAGGCACAAAAGGGTGATCGCGGTCGCCGGGGGCCTAGCCTATCTCGTGGTCACAGTCCCTTGCTAAGGTTGCTCCGAGTGCCCTCCCGTTTCGATTGATGAGGTCCTATGATTGTCTGTCCATGGAGGAGGGCGTCTTTGGGCAAGTGAGCTCGAAGGCGTGGTGCCCCCGAGAAAAAGGTTCACTCTTTGAACCTGCTTTTGAACCACGCTCAAACGAGCGGTGGGTGCAGAAAGCCATTCTCAATTTAGATAAAACGCAAATAATTAACAAGTGGTGGCTATCCTTTAATATGCCGATGATGCAATCATGTTTATACAAGATGAGTGCTAGGAATCTGAAAATGCTGCTCTATATGTCTGAACAAATGTCTAGGTTAGAAATTAGTTTCTTGGAAAGTGAAGTGCTTATGGTGATGCACGATGAGAGAAAAAAACAGATGTATGCTGATCTATTCAACTGCCGAATGGGCTTCGACAACAGTATAAGAGCAACTCCAACGCGTGGACGCAAATGGACGCGTGGTTTATCCACCTTTTGTCTGTTCGGGTCAGGTGAGCGCTCGTTGTCCGCATGTGTCCGACCGGTGCGCCTAACCGACCGCCACATTTTTCGCTTGCTTATTCTGATGTGGATGGCAAGCAGGCATATATTTCTTGGTTTGAATAGGACTCTTTACGAGCGTTCTTTCTATCTACTATTATCTAAAAATAATCAAATTATTAATGACTGGACGAAACCAAGAAATAACCCCTCATGTGCGAAATTATAGAAGATCCCCTTTAAGATCAAACAATTCCATCGAATTGAGCACAAAGCAAATTGACCTTAAGAAAGGCCAGCGACCAGAGTTCATGCCAGCGTCCATAGTCGAGTAAGTTGCAGGCGTCGGGACGATTGCCGACGGGTATCTCACGCGGTCTAATGAAGGGTGGAACCCTAGATGGCCGATCTTTCACGAATGGAGTGGATCCCGCGAAGAACACGAGGAGAATCACGAAGGGAAACACAAGAGAATCACTCAAACCAACAAGAACGATCACACATATGCTAGATCCTTGGAACACAAAGAGATACACGATCCACGATCAACAAGGGATGATATATAGGGTAACCGGTTCTTCTCCGTGAGGAGGTCTTGAGTTCTTCCCATTGGGGGTCTTGAATCCAAGTGGTTCTTCTCCGAAGAGGAACAGTCTCTCTCGAAGGAGTAGATCCAGGTGGATGAGCAGAGCTCTATCTCAAATATGAGCTATCACATTGCTAACCCTAACCAGGAGGAGGAGGGGGTCTATATATAGTGCTAAGCCACTAAAGGGTTAGTGAGGGGCGAAGGGGTTCACGGGCCTCGGCCCAAGTCATGCGTGCATGCAAAGGCCGGATGATCCGAATGGGGGTCTGGATGATCCGGCTTCGCCGGATGGATTCTGCAAGCTTCGGGTGCCGTGGCTGTGGGATTACCCGGATGATCCCGGGGGGGGGGATCCGGATGATCCGGACGGAGGTCCAGACATCCGGGCTGACTTCAGTAGCCACTCCGTCTTCTTCTCCTTTATTCCGTCTTCTCTTCCATGCTTGGCCTTGGTCCTTTGAATCTCCATGGTCATCTTGTATGAGCCTGAGTATACACAAGATCCATGCATGAGGTAGTAACCATATCTCATGTGTGGAAAGTGACGACTCGAAGAGGAGTGAGTTCACCTTGTGTCCAATGGCGTATGGTCGAGGTCTCATCGTATGTCCTCTTGGGGCTTGGGGAGTAGTCGAAGTGTACATGGGGATGATCGTAGGATGCTCTGCATCATCTCCACCCCTTGGGAAAGATCCGACCTCGGATCATGATCCTCATCACCATGGAAACGGTTGTTGTGGACAGACTTGTAGTTGGATGGAGTTGAAGACATTGCACAATCCAAGTACTCCAAGGTGTCGTCAGAGTGGTATACATGCAAAAAGAGCAAACACAAACGACACTCGGAAATACAATGGTTAGCGCACACAAAGTGTCCATCATGTAAGAATGAGTCCATGCGGCAAGATTGTTCGTGACAAAGCGCATGAAGCTTATCAAGATGATATAGAATGATATGCAAAGCATTCATGGGAGCAAAAGCATTCATTGTGCACACAAATGTGTTGTGAATATGATCAATGCAACCACGATGCAAAATGATGTCATAGTGAGACGGTTTATCAATAGCATGAATATGGCAATGGATGCTCAATATGAATAAGTTATCATGCAATTGATGGTAGGCAATATGATCATGATGTATGAATATGTCATCAAGATGAAGGAAATATGCCCTAGAGGCAATAATAAAGTTATTATTTATTTCCTTATATCACGATAAATGTTTATTATTCATGCTAGAATTGAATTAACCGGAAACTTAGTACATGTGTGAATACATAGACAAACAAAGTGTCACTAGTATGCCTCTACTTGGCTAGCTCGTTGAATCAAAGATGGTTAAGTTTCCTAGCCATAGACATGAGTTGTCATTTGATTAACGGAATCACATCATTAGAGAATGATGTGATTGACTTGACCCATTCCGTTAGCTTAGCACTTGATTGTTTTAGTTTACTGCTATTGCTTTCTTCATGACTTATACATGTTCCTATGACTATGAGATTATGCAACTCCCGATTATCAGAGGAACACTTTGTGTGCTACCAAATGTCACAACGTAACTAGGTGATTATAAAGGTGCTCTATGGGTGTCTCCAATGGTACTTGTTGAGTTGGCATAGATCGTGATTAGGATTTGTCACTCCGATTGTCGGAGAGGTATCTCTGGGCCCTCTCGGTAATACACATCACTATAAGCCTTGCAAGCAATGTGACTAATGAGTTAGTTGCGGGATGATGCATTATGGAACGAGTAAAGAGACTTGCCGGTAATGAGATTGAACTAGGTATTGAGATACCGACGATCAAATCTCGGGCAAGTAACATACCGATGACAAAGGGAACAACGTATGTTATTATGCGGTTTGACCGATAAAGATCTGCGTAGAATATGTAGGAACCAATATGAGCATCCAGGTTCCGCTATAGGTTATTGACCGGAGACGTGTCTTGGTCATGTCTACATAGTTCTCGAACCCGTAGGGTCCGCACGCTTAACGTTCGGTGACGATCGGTATTGTGAGTTTATGT